AAACTCGGCAATTATACTGACATCCATCAAGACAATAAGAAGTTTTTGATAACACGTTAATCCTGCTACAGTGAAACGGTATTTCTAGTATTTCTACGGTATTTCTTATGAAGATATTATCCTGTCTAATTATCTAAATTGTAGAGCCTGCATGTTTAAGACAATTTCGAGTGAAATGTATACCCTGTTTAATACAGCAAGGACGATAAGTGAGCAAGGCCAAAAACCATACCCTGGCCAGCGGCACGTCCCCGTATAGCAAATATATGGGAGTAGAATGGTAGACCTACACTATATAGTACCATAGTATAGTACTGAGAAAACTGCACAGACTGTAAACACTTTCAGGAATTTAAAGCGAGCAAAATTACCTAGTGAAAACACAACCTGTATGAAATGTGAACTAGCCTGTGTACAGCGGTTTCCGTGTGATACTCATTTTAAAATGCCGAATGATTTAGTGCTCTGGTTGGGATCACATTTCCCAAGAACACCTGCCGGCCTCTTCGTTGGTCCATTGCCGAGGTCCATTGCCTGTCCCGTCGTTTCGGTCTCTTAGTGGCACTGAGACGAAAGTTCTTAGTTTTAAAACATGCTTTTAAACTGTCATAAAATTGTCATCTCACCCGACTCCCCGACAAAAGAAGAGTGAACAACTCAGTTCAGCGAGCTGTCAATCAAATCTAGATACACCAAAAATCTCATTAGCAGTAAAACGAAACCGAGGTCACGTGACAATTAATGAAAATGTATTTTATGTTGTCATTGTCAAGTGAAATTCGTTTGGACTTCGTTTAAGAATTGCATTCGGTTTATACTTGCTAACTACTTGTACACGCTTGTATCGCCTATGTAAACACGATCCAAATTGTGTAGCAATCAAGAATGAAAAGCTTGTTCAACAGTATGGATTTATATTACCATGCCAGACGGCGCTAAAATCTGAAAATTTCACGCTCACTTAACTGCACTTGGTTTGTGAAGTCATTACCCTATTAATATACCAGGTAAGGATATGGTCTGCTTTGTCTCCATTAGAAATATGAATCATTATTTATACTAAGTCGACCTAGTATCCCTTGTAGATACAATAGATATCATATATGGTCGCACTAGGCGCCCAAAGGACAATGTTGATAGGGTTAAAACGACTCAGTTTTATCATAACTCAAATATACTGTTACATTATATTTTGATGAGCGTGCTTATCGATATAAGAATTGAAGGTTTCAATAACAAATCGGAACGGATGCCTGTAAGGGCTTATCCTAAGTTTCCTTCTCTGGAGTTTTATTCACAATCGTGAAATGATAGTGTTTTGGATGTTTTTTTTCACTATCATGAGTTAACGATATATATTAAATCAATGTTTTTGATTTGTCAAACTTCAAAGTGAATATAAAATCTTGTTTACTAAAGGTGGAAGGTGTTTTGTAAATCATTGTCGAGCCAAAGCAGGAACGTAAACAAACACYAAGACGGGTCAACTTGTAATAAGTTATCGATTTCTATAAAATTTATGGCTCTAACAGAATTGTATGATCGCCTGAAGGCTTTATTATCGATGAGATTTTAAGTGGATCACAGAAATATGATCGGCTTAGATGAGTCCAAAGTGTATGTACTTTATGATAGCTTTATATTACTATAATGTCCCCCCACCTCCCCTTTCTCCCTGCAAAAAAAAAAATCAACTCGCTTTGTCCTTTTCTTTGCACAAATAATTATGAAAATTATGAAAGCGAAAACCGAGCCCTAAATCTAAGAGGGTGAGAATTGCATCATAAACTCACTCGCTCGTTCCTCGCTCGTTCAGTCGTTGTATGATACAAACAACTCGTGAATAAAATCCCGTACGTCGCACTTTCCATGACATAAACTATGTTTTTAAAACGATTTGTCTTAAAGGTTGGAATCTCTGAGAACAATGCATATAAAAAATGAAAACCAGCCTACAATTTGGATAGTTCGTAGAATGACGGACGTTTGAGACTTTACATCCTTGGCAAATGTCACCTCTGTCTGTGCTTTTTATTCGTCTGCAACATATGTAACTAATGTCGTCATTAACTGCGTCATTTAGTATTTTTAGTCTGTGAAGTGCGTCATTAGTGACGTAAATTAAACAAAAGTGTTTTTCTCTTATATCAATCAATTTATGTCTTCATTCAGTCATTATTTCAC